TGCTCAAGCAAGGCGGTAGCCCTTTGTGTCATTTGTCGTGGTAGCCGAGAGCGTAGGTGGTGGAGCCGTGGTCAAGGTAGCCGTGTGAAAAATGTTGTGGTCGATGTCGAGTCAGGATAGCCGGTGTCGATGAAGTCGTCGTGGAGCCATGGGCGCAAGGAGCGCCGATCGAGTTAGTCATGGGCGCACTGGTGTCGAAGTAGTGGTGCACCGGGAATAGGATGTTGTTGACGAGGCATCGCACTGGGTTTGCCAAACCCGGGGACACATCGTAGACGAAGGCACACGTCGGTGTTGCCAGCACCAAGCATGCGTAGACGGATGAAGATGAAGTGGACGAAGCACCACACCAGGTTTTCCAGGCCCGGGGACACGTCGTGGACGAAGGCACGCACCGATGTTACCAGCACCAGGCATGCGTAGACAAGAGACCTGCACGAGTTGTACGTCATGTGGATCGGAAAAACAACTCTCTATGGCAGCCGGTCAACATGACCGGCGGATGAACCCTAGGTACAGGCGGCGCGGCCCCCGGTGGCAGTCATGGAGGCCGACCGCCCCAAGGGCGGCGCGCAGGGCTGAAGCGGTGGGTGACGGCTAGGGTTTGGACTGGTTAGGCTGATACAATGTTAGAAGGAAGAGAGAGAATTGGTGGAATAGTTCTTGTATTACTTGAGCCTCATGGGCATATATATAGGAGTACAATGATCAACTTGGAGTACAAGGCAAGCCAGAACAAATCCTAGTCTATCACGTCCTTCCTAATAATCAATATACTCAACATCGTCGACGACGAGGTGCCTATGGTGACTTCGTAAATCTCAAGATGATATGCCGGCTCAGTCTTTCGGAGGTGCTCATAGGGGTAGGATCTGCGTGTGTGCGTTCATAGGGATAAGTGTATGCGAGTGTATATGAGCGCTTGTGTCTGGACTGATGCTAAAAAAAAGAGCTCTTGCACCTTCTTCCTCCCTGGTAGATGGTCTCATATCCTCCGGTTATAAAATATTATATTCTGACGCATGCAACGATCAAAAAGATAAATCTTCAAGAGAAAAGCTAACCTTCTTGGCAACTTCGTTCGCAGGCTTGCAATGGATTTGATCTACTCAGGCATGTGAGAGCAAACCTCTCTGGAGCAAAGAACAACGACCATGCAAACGTCTATGCTTTACATGCGATCCTGTACTTGTAGGCTGGTCTCGGAAACTTCGTGTGACTTACCATTTGCGTGAAAAAATAAAAATAAATAAATACTGTTTTCCGCCTACCTTGGCAGGCCATTAAAAGCTGAATTTGTGCTCAAAACCTTTACAGAATCACATTCAATTTTTAGCTTTAATAACTTTGCACGCTTCACATTGGTAACAAGTAGCTGTCCAAAAAAATTACATATGCTATAACAATTAATTCTCATCACTGTTTATGCGTACAATTGAAGACTTTTGGCACGACGAAACCGGCTTCTCTGCACACGTTTCATTTTAAATGCACACGATTTAAAGCCCTGCAGCCTACGTCAATATGTGTAGACCAATTCATAGCGATCGATCCCTAGCGAAGCGTAATGTGAAAAAAAATTGGATGTATGTTTCGTTGGAATCATTGATTAATATATATATTTACAAGTCAATAAATTTGATTAAAGAAACAAATTCGTAAAGTGGTAGTTTTTAGTCATAGGTTAGCAAAAAAAAGATAGTTTTCGGCACAAATTTGTAAAGTGGTAGTTTGTGGGCACGATTCCACGAATTGTGGTAGTTTTTGGTTAACAGTTTGTCTAATTCACATCTAGATGTTTTCTAAGGATGTCACATCTAAGCTTCTACAAATAACACAACAACAAGGAATAAAAAAAGAAACAAAAAAAATAAAGCACAAATATAATGGACATCAGGTTAGATGTGACATAATTATGTCACATCTAGATGTGTCATAGACAGACCCTTTGGTTAAATACTCCTGAGAAAGCAAAAATGTCATGGAACATGTACAGAAAAAAAAGCTAACCATCGAAACCAACCGATGTTTTCCCTTTCGACATCAATAAGACCTTGTACAATGGTTGATAAGATAGTCTTATCTTAAGTCCTGCAGCCTCGTAGACGGTCGGATCTGTAGTTA